CTTATATACGTTTTAAACATAATTTTTTTCTCTTTACGAACATAGCCTTTAATGGCTGCACATAATCCCCTTTCTGGAATTACACAATGATTTACTTAGCAACTTCTCTATGTTAGACCTAAGACATTTTGTGAATTTTCACTATCGTAAGTAACTGTAATAACCATTCCTATAAATAAATCTTTATTATACCCTATTTTCTTATGGTAAATATCTAAAAATAAAAGCAGTAAATCAAAGGGCTTGAACACATTAATATATAGTGCCAAAATCCTTCTGAAAAGCTGCATTAATTTATGTCACCTTTGTAGTGCACAAGAGCACCCATTTTATTGCCCCATCAACAGCACTGAACGCTTTTGTCCCCCAAGCAAAAATTAATACAAACCTACAAAAGTTATGTGAAAGCATCTTCAAAAAAAGAACCTCTACCCGATCCAAACTATCCATCCAAAAAACAAATGCCACTGGAAACAAAGAAGATGGCACCCATATGTACCTAGGGGTTTACCTGGGAAATTTTACAACCACTACTGGAAAAATAACTGAAAAGTGCCGTATTGGGAGTCGTTCTCACAGCATCGTTTTAGTACGAGGTCATTACGTTTTCAACCAAATCACTGCCACCAAATCCTACTCTATGATTGAAACATAAGTTTATCGTATTAGATTTGATTTGGAACAACAGAGACTCCAAACTCAGTTAAATTGTGTAAAACCATTTTGTACCTTCCCAAAGTCATAACGTTGATTAATCTTAATGCTCACTGACAACCTGAGGTTGCCACATCAAACTGACGTTTACCCTTTCTACATGCCAATTATAAGAAACAATTTTCTTTACGACTCCAATATGTTGGCAAAATTACTAAGCACTTTAAAAGGAATGCGAAGTAAAGATTTGCAGTAACCTCTGCAGAACTGACTTTCTATGATTTCTGCCCAACATCTGCCAAACATCTTTTCAATCAATATTCCAACAGCGCCAAGTTTTTTGCTTTTTAGTTTTTAAGCACAAGTCAGTTCAGTCAAAGCAATTTAAGGAGAAATTACTTAACACCAGTGCTTCAACATAGGTAAAGGCCTTTTAGAAATGATTTGTAATCACTTGGGATAAAAGCAAAAATAAAACCAAGTTACATATTTATCTGATTTCC